CGACTGCGGCGCCGACGACAACGACGACGCCGACGACGACGCCGACGACACCAACGACGACGGCACCGACGACGACGACGACGACGAAGGCGCCGACGCCGACGACGACTCCGCCGACGACAGCAACGGCGGCGGCGACGCCGACGACGCCGACGACGCCGACGACGTTGACGCCGACGACGCCGACGACGCCGACGACTACGACGCGGACGACGCCGACGGCGGCGGCGACGACGACGGTTGAACCGAACGGGCGGACCCTCACCGAAGAGGTCCTCCCGAGGCCGCACAACAGGGTCTGCCGAAGCATATCTGCCGACGCGGACCTGCAATTCGCGCGCTCGGAGTAGCCCCGGGAGGACCCCGGACGAAAAGTACCCGGCTGATCCCCGGCGGAATCCCGGTCAACTCCCCCAGAACGCTCCAGGAGAGGACCAGCACGGCTCGGAGACGCCCCAGTCGCCGAAAGATCGCCCCATGTCGGTCACGATGGCCTCCAGACGGCCTCAGACGCCGAAGAAGCCCCGAGAGAGACACAAGAGGCCAAATACGTCCCATGCCATTGGGAAAACATATATGCTTAACATATTCACCCTTGGGTGTTTCACAGCGTCCAAGATTGCCCACAAAACCTCCAAGATCGGCCCAAAAAGGTCCAACGGGGCCTCCATTTGGCCCAAGACGGCCCATTAGGACAGCGCGAAATTCGGCACGCACAACACTAGCCAATTCGCAAAGAAACACCCAGACAATCCCAGGTGTCGCACATCTCCGCCCAAGAGGCCTCCGGGCCCAAAAGTGCATCTTCCACCCCCTCCCCCGGACGCGTGGTTCTAGCTGAATACCAAAGCTCTTGCAACACAGCTTGCACCCCATAGCTAACACCACGTTGCCCCACATAGATTGCACCATATAGCTTACACCACCCAGAGTGCACCACATAGATTGCAAGACAACCACTGTTTGGGGCCCGCGCTGACTGGCATGATTTTCGATGCACTGCATGCAGCGCTACTACATTGCTTGCAAGGGTCGCCCTGCTGGAGAACCGCGGCATGCGGGCGGCATGCTCTCATGGCCCTGGCCAGGCCTGACGTTGCAGTATCTGGGGCAAAATGCCACTATGCCTACAAAGCACCGCCATTGCGGGACGCCTGGGCAGGAAGGGGGAGAGGAGCGCGCAAGTCCGACGCGCGTCAGCTTCAGCGTGCAGAGCTGTTGCCCGCCACCGGCTGCGGGCAGCGTCGCAGCCCTGGGCGGGGGCCAACGACGTGCACGACGGCCCAAAGTCGATCCTACGTGTTCAACGACCAGAGCTTGAACTGGTGCCTGTGTCGCTGGAGCTTTCGGAAGTATCAGAGCCGGGCTCTGCGTCTCGGCCTCGTGAGTGCACCGTGTTCCGCATATCGATGCATTCGGCCAAACAGTAATTCGCCACATGCCGGCCCATTGTTCGCACCATGTGTTTATCCGCCACCACGCCTCTGGCGCGCAGTCGCTAAGCCTGGTTTTTGTCATGGCCAAGCAAGCATCCGACTTGGAAAACAGGAAAGGATACCCCCCCCCCTCCCGTTTCCGAGCGCTCTCGGGCGCGCGGCATTCGCAATCGGAGCAAGATGGCGGGCCAGCCGAAGGCTACTAGATACCTCGCCGCCCAAGAGAAGGTAATCTCGCAGATGCTGGTGTTTGCGCCGTCAACGAGCTCCTTGACGCCTGGTGCGTCGGGGCAGCAGTGCTGCTTACACCATGGGTCGACATGACCTCTGGCGTGAAATCTGTCCACCACGTATACGACGCACGGGTGTGCCAATAAGGCGGCTAAGGCAGACTGGTCCTTTCTATTGGTGCTGTATTGGCGGAAATGACAGGCGTCGTCGTGGATGACGACGTTCAAGGCGGGGAATCGCTTCTTCAAGCGGGCCAGAAAGCAATACCGCTGCGCCAAGCTTTCAACGCCGAAGAACTCCTCCACGTCGATAATGTGCCCGCTGGGCGAGCACGCGACAAGGAACCCCCCAGTTCGCCGCACTGCAAGAGAAGCGGACTCCAGCTTGCCCCGTTTCCCTCCCTTGGCAAAACTCTTGTGGGTTTTGCACGAAATCTGTTCCAGCTCCCTGAGTGATGCGTCGACCGCCGGAAGTGCCGCCGCGGGGTCTACGGGCTGCGCAGGCTGCGCAGCCGTCGCATGCGCGGCTCGGCCGGCGTCGCCATCGCCGCGGCTCGCCGAAGGGCGCGCCCCATCGCCGCAGCTCGCAGAAGTGCGCAGGCCAGCGGGCAACCTGCGCTTTTTCTGCGGCCTCGCAGGCAAACTCTGGACGGGCGCGGCAAGAGCAAACTCCTGTGGCGCCTCATCTGCTGGCGGGCCAGGTCTTGCCACTGGTGGTCCAAGTGGTGCTTTCTGCGTTTTCTCAAGCGGAACCGGGGCAACTTCGCCTTGAGTTTGTCCGGCGCCCCCTCGCTGGCACGGGACTCGGCCGCGTCTTTCGCGGCATCTGCGGCGCGCCTGACCAAAGTGGACTGGACGGCGTCCCAGCAGCCTTCAATATCGTCAACCACTCGAACTGCTCCGACGCCTTGCCGCTGCGACGTCACACAGAGCACGTCGTCCAGCGTGCCCCCCAAGCATTCGCGGCGCCGGACAAGAAAAACGTCTGCGTCTTTGGCGCCCTCAAACGGCACGGGCTTCTCCAGCAAACGGGCGTGGCAAGTGCACCAGCGCTCGCGCTGGCCCCTCGTGGGGGCAGGGCAGGGGTGCAAGCGCACCTTGCCGAGATTTGGATCGCGGGTGTAGCCTCCATACATCAACCCGCAACACTTCCGGGTGAGCTTCTGATGCCCGTCTATGACGACCTTAGAAACCTCCCCGTCGATCTCGGCGCGCCGGTGCCGCAAGTTCCGCAAGTGGGTCTGCAACTGCGGCCAATTAGCTTGGATGACGTGCTCGACAGGCGCCGACAACCGGAGCTGCAAATACGACCTGGACCCCTTCATTTCTGCCAGACGCGTCAACAGCCGCATCAGGAACCACGCCTTCATCAGCTTCATGTGCAATCTCTTTTTGGAGATGCCCGATTGAGGCCGCCAATGAACTTCAGCCTCCCCCCAAAATGAAGTGTGCTGATGAGCGAGGCGTCGTGAAAATTGTCTGAACCAATTCTGCGTAATGCCAAACGTTGGGGAAATCATGAAAGGGCCCGGCCAATCATCACAAATCCACACATATCTGTGGACGCCCTTCTTCAAAGAAATAAAGTTGGCCCACTGGTACTTCCCTCGCGAAATGCACCCCGCCGCCTGGCACCTGACTGGGACATGCGTGAACTCGCGGAGCCCATCGGTGTCAAGAACAAGCGCGGTGTCGGCTTTATTGCGGCACACTTGCCCATGCGAACATGCTTGGCAGCGTCGCCCTGGGGGCGCGACCTCTCCGACGCTGCTGCGTGCCACCACCGCAGCCGCGAGTCTCTGTATATCTGCGGGAGCGAGCAGCCCCGCCACGTCGGCTGACTCCAACGCTTGTTCTACAACGGCCGGGTCCATCAGTTGCGCGGCCACGCGCGGGGCAGGCCGCGCAACTTGAGCCCAAAACTACGGAGCGTCGGAAATGAGTCGGCGGCTCAGGGGCTACCTAGAGGCGGTCTGAACTCGAATGCCCCCCCAGGTGACTTTGCCCAAAGGGTTCGAACTTGTTCTCAAAGAACTGACAAGGGCCCGGACTGCGCTGGCCAGCCCTCCCCGGCTTGCTGCCCGCGTTGCACGGGCTTGTCTGGGTTGACTCCTCTTGCTGCCCTACTTGTCTCTCGCCCCCTCGGTTTCCCATCCGCGCGTCTCTCGCCCCCATGGTCCCCCAAATGTACCTTGCCACTCTGGCTCCCCAATTGTCTACTGCCCTTTCGGTTCCACAATTTCGCTTAGCGTATCCCTGCTCTGTGCAGCGCATATCATTGCATTTCGTCGCGTTGCTGCGTTGATCTGGCGTGGAAGAAAGAATGACCAAATCGGGGTCGCGCCGCTTTCACTTGCGTGGTGCTCGGGGAACGCAACGGGAGGGGGGCGTAGATGGATATGGTTTCCTGTCCTGAAGCGAATCCTCGGCCACCGTCTAGCTCGCCCGGCCCGCGATGCCAAGGGGCTCCGGCATGCCCGTGCCGTGCTCATATGGCTCCGCAAAGGCCATCCTCGGCCGTCTGCAAAGCAAAATGGCGCCGGGCCAAATGGGCGCCGCCCAGCGCGAGGGCTGCGCAAGGGGGCGACGCCGGTGGAGAAGGGGGCAGGGCGCGAGTAGCAAAATGTCTGAAAGCATTGCGAAGGGAAGACTGCAGCCCGAACGAAGTAGCCGAAGTAGCCCTGGGCGACGGGGGGTCGCGAACGCAGGTCCGGCCGACGGGGAAACGCCGCCAGCAAACTGAGCGGGGCACGCCTGCGTCGCGAGAGCGGCAAGCGCGGGCCGCGCGCCCGCGCCCGCGCGACGAAGACCCTGGGCAACGCGAGTCACCGCCCAATGCCTTGCGCTCGCCCCGCAGGCCTCACGTCGCGGCCTGTGAACCTGCAGCCTGCGCCTGCGCATGTCAAGCAAGCGATTGTAGCGCATCTAAGAAAGTATGCATTGAAAAACTGTTGAAGCACATGCGAACGTGCCGTTAGAAATTCACTGGCAGCGTCTTAAGCGACTCCATCGCGAGACCTGTTGCATGGCGGGACCCGCGATAAAGCGCAATGCCTCATCTTATCCAGGCGATTGCCCGAAGCGGCGCACTGTGGCCGGAGACACCCCGGGGGAGATGCCGCGCAACCTGATTTGTTCAAAATCGCGCCCCAATGGGCCTGGGAGAGGTGCCGCGTGGCGTAGGGCGATCAAAATCGTCGCCCGACGGCCCATCGGGCGATCTGGAGTCGCGCTGCTGGCCGAATACGGCCGCACCAGCCCCCCGTTGGTTCGAGCGCAGCGCGTCTGCTTGACTAGCGTTCGAAACGCGGGGTGCCAAGAAGCGAGCGGATAGCTACCCGCTTGCCGCGGGGGCCTGGGCCCGCTGCAAGAGGGCCCTCACCTCGCGGCCTGTAAGCCTGCACATGTCCACCAGGAGATTGTGCCACTTGACCATGGCCTCGCGCCCGGCCGCCGCCGACGGCGGCGCGTGCCACTGAACCCTGGATCTCGGCGCGCCCACCTCGAGCAAGTCGCCGACAGGGTACTGCGCCAAGGCAGCGGCCATCACGTCCTCCCAGACTTTCTGGGGCAAGCCCAAGCGCTTCTTCCTGCCGTTCACCATCGCTTCGCGGCGCAAGTTCCCGCAAATCTCGGAGCACTTGACCACCCCCTTGCCCCGCTGCAGCGTGTAGCGGACGATGTCGCGGTCCGTCTTCCACGCCTCGCCCTGGCCCTCGGCGAACGCCTGCACTGTGCCGCCGCGGGGGCCGTAGCCTCTGGTCATTGGCGCGCCGTCTGTGATCTGCTTGGGCTCGGTGGCAGCAGGCGGCGCCTCCGCGGGCAGCGGGCCAACTGGCGCGCTCGGCAGGGCTCCTGGCGGCGCAGGCTGGGCGGATGGCGGCGTCCCCTGGGCCTGCGCGCCCGGCGCAATCGCCTGGGCCTCCAGCGGCGCAAGCGGGGCGGCCTCGCGGGCGCCGCGATCGGCGCCCCCGGCGACGGCATCCGCCGGGCTGGCGGCTGGTCGCGAACTCTGCGCCGAGGCCGGCGGCTCGGCGCTCTGCGCGCGGGCTCGCTTCGTTGGCGGCCGCGCCGTTGCGGCTGGCGCCCCAGACGGCTCTGCGCCGGCGAGCCCCGACGGCTGCCCCTGCTCCAGGCCGAACCCGGCGGGCAGGCCAGCCAAGAAGTCGGCGCTCTGCTGGCTCATGTGCAGAACCGACTTCGCGCGCTCCTCATCGGTGGCGTCAAGCCACTGCTCCCGCGCGCCCTCGAGCAAGGCCAGCAAGCGCTTGGCGCGCTCCACCTGCCCCCGCGTGGCGACCAGCGCACCTGCGGGGTCTGGCCTGGCAGCGGGCGCCTGTCCGACAAATGAGTCGAAAGCGAACAGCAAGCCAGTCAATACGCTCGCTTTCCAAGGGGCAGTCCCCCAGCGCGCGCTGGTCACAGTGCCCCCTTCCTCCACGGCCAAAGACGCTTTGACCGAGGCGAAGGTACTGACGCTGCGCATGAGTTTCGCGGCAGCCTCGGACAACGTCACAGTCTCCCCCGCCTTCGAGAAGAGAGTGGAAACTCGCTCCGCCGCTGCCGTGATCTCGTGCGATGGAGGCAGCGGGATGTTCTCGTTGCCGATGCGATACTCGGCCACCCACTCGTCGTTGGCCCAGCAATACCGCAGGCGACTGGGCACGCCGTCCGGCAACGTGAAGAGGAACCCCTCCGCGTCAGGGCGATACCGAACGGAGCGGTCCCCGCCTTCTTCTGGCGCTTCGTCCCCATGGGCGCGCGCCCTTGGCAACTGCGCCTGCTCCGCAGCCTCGGGGCCCCCGATGAGCTCTTTCATGCCGGACAGCACGGCCATGTCCACGTCCAGCTCTGCCCACGCCTGTGAATGCAAACTGCTATACTGTCTGGCTTTTTAACACAAAAGACGCTGGCGCGCCTGGCCACGACGTCCCGGAGAAGATCAGGCAATCCAAGACGGCGCCCCAGAGGCCCAGGGGAACCCACAACGCGGCTTTCCAACGTTGCCCCGGATGGCCCCATGGCGCGGTGCGATTTGGGATTTCCCAAGTCGCGCCCCGCCGACTCGCTGCGGGCCAAAAACTGCAGGGAGGGTCATCATGTGTAAAGTTTGCCAGAATCGCGCCCAGGGGTCGTGGTTCTCGGGCAGCTCATACGCATCTGGAAGGGCACTGCGAGGAGGCTCTGGGCGGCCCGTGTAGAAGAACATGCGCTCTTTGGTAGCCCCCGCGTGGCTGCCCAGAGCGCCCCTGTCCATCGGGACGGCGATCTCTGGGTGGATGTTGCCCAGCCAGGCGAGGGACACCGCTGGCGTGAGACCTCCCCCGTAGGATCCTGAGCTCTTTGTTGCGCGCGGGCACTCCCCCCACTGCAGCAGGCGATTGAGGGCCCCAGCGTGCTCGTTCACCGTCTGGGCATTGGTGGACGAGCGATGGGAGTCGTCGCGGATCAAGCCGAAGGCGGCGAAGGGCGCATATACCTCATCGGCATTCGCGAGCCGGCCAAGGTGGACGCTCCCGCGCAGCGAGGGAAGCCCGACATCTTCAGCATTATCAAGCTGCTGCGCATCACCGCTCATCTTCTCGAAGAACTTGGCAGGGGTGAACGAGGCCAACACTGCGCTGGCCACGCGAGGGGGGGCCTTCGGCGGCGCGCCCGGACCACCGATGTCCACTGGGCGGTTGCGCGCCTCCAACTCCTCGGCGACCTTGGCCTCGAGCTTGGCGAGGATCTTCGCGCCCAGACAGTCGCCGATCTCCTTCGCCAGCTTGGTCATCTGAGACTTTCGTGTCTGAGGAAAATTGGTTAGGACAGCGACAACGTTGAGCTGCGTGGGCGATCCTGGGAACGTCTTGATGTTGGCCCCATTGGTCAGCGGCGCCATGGCTGCAATGAGCGTGACCCCCGTCACCAGCGGGTGTGTCGAAGAGCGGATGGCATGGGACAGAACGAACTGGTAGCCGACCTTTCCAAATAGGAACTCTGGGTCGAAGTTCTCGTCTATGTATGCCCAAGCGGACTCCATTTCCTCCTTGAACTGCTGGGACTGCGCGGACATTTCTGAAATGTAGGCGTGGCAAGAACAAGCACGAACTGCCGATCACCGATGGCTGCTGGTGGAGCGTGCCAGACGATGAGGGAATCAAAATCGTTGAGCCGCAATGTTTACGGACGACATGGAGCCGTGACCACCCTTGCACTCATCCCATCTCTGCGCCTCTCCGGTCTGGGCGACTCGGTCCCAGGCGAATCGCACGCATCTCCCATGCATCGGTCTGATGCGGTACTTGCATCGCCCTCAGTCAGGAGCGCCAGAGCTGCATCGCCGATGCGTCTGTCTGCCGTGGAAATTGCACCGCCCTCGGTTTCCCTGCGTTGCGCGCACCACGCCGAGCGCCTCCCGAACCCGAGCCCCTTCAAAACCCGAACTCAACCTGTTTCCTCCTCCCCCTCCTCCCCCCCCTCCTCCTCCTCCTCCTCCTCCTCCTCCTCATCCTACTACTACTACTACTACTACTACTACTACTACTACTACTACTACTACTACTACTACTACTACTACTAACTACTACCACTACTACTACCACTACCACTACCACTACTACCACTACTACTACTACTACTACTAACTACTACTACTACTACTACTACTACTACTACTACTACTACACTACTACTACCACTACTACTACTACTACTACTACTACTACTACTACTACTACTACTACTACTACTACTACTACTACTACTAATACTACTACTAATACTTCTACTACTATCACTACTACGACTACTGCTACTACTACTACTACTACTACTACTACTACTACTACTACTACTACTACTACTACTACTACTACTAAACTACTACTACTAAACTACTACTACTACTACTACTACTACTACTACTACTACTACTACTACTACTACTACTACTACTACGACTACGACTAC